GCCTAAGGGTTAATAATTCAAAACTCTAGGGGTCAAAATTAATTAATTTCAAACTTGAAGGGGTTAATTATTAATAATTGGAAAGTTTAAGAGTCAAAAATAAATTATGCGGAACTTTAGGTGGCAAACTAAACCAATTATGAACACTCAGGGGCTAAATTCAGAACTTAAATGACCCAAATTAATGAATTTCAGAACTTTAGGGGTTGAATTATTAAAATCCATTACCTTAAAGTCCAATTATGATTAACTTTAAACTTTAGGGGCTAAATAATAAATAACTCAATCCTAACCCTAATTTTTAATTGCAAGGAAGGGCACCAAAACTTCAAATTTGCAACCCAAGCCCCCGCTCCAAAAAATTCCAAAAATCGAAAATCTTTAATGACCATAATTGAAAATTTTAATGGGGAAAAGCCCCTTGGTCTCCCCCTTCCCGCCAGCAGCGAAAACAGCAGCGTTTTTACGTTGCTGTAACGCAGTTGCAACTACGCTGCAACAGGCACCAGCGCCGGCAGTGGCGGCTACCACACGAAAAAAAAAATTTTTTTTCTTAAAACAGATCCAAAAAATCTTTATCCCAAATTCAAATTTAGAAAGAAAACCTTTAATTATATCATAAAATTATGCTAATTACATGAAATAACATGCCAAAAATTTAGATCCATAACAGAATATGCTATAAGTTCATAACTTAGCATGAAAATCAAAGAATTCATAAAAAAAAATCAGAATTTAAAATTTCAATTTCTCACGAATTTCAACTATAAAATGACTCTAATACCAGTTGATGGAAAAACATAATAGGATTATAGATTAAAAAAATAATCAAATCATTAATTCTCAACATAAAAAATATACATTGATCTATGATAATTTGATTTTTTACTTGGATATGTTAGGATCTTCCAAATAATTGGTGATCTTCTCTTCAACTTTTTTCTCTCTATTGATGGGGATGTAGAGAAACTTGAAAAGCACCAACAAATGAGGACAATAACCATATAAAATAATATTAATAATTCAATAGTCACTATCTTTCAGTTACTTCAAATTGACCACTCATCAATTTAAAACAACACTTCGGTCTCTACACTAATTTCATGAATTCTAATACACATTAGTCACAATATATCTTTATCAAATCACTTTAATTAACTAATATCCTTTAAATAATAGCACCACATATTTCAATATACAACGTGTGGCCCTATATATGTTGAAATTACCCAACAAAATGTGCTTGAAGAATTAACTATTGAATACAAGAGAAGATTACAGTATAATTGTTGAAGATTTTTAAAAATTAAAAAAGTGGGCCAAAAGGGTTTAACTATTTATCAAATACATCATGTTTGACACTCATTCTCTTTTTTTTCTTTTTTTATTTCAACCACACATTCTTTAATAAAATAATATTACAAAAAAATCTAAAACTTTTCATTATTTTTCAATCACACATTTTTCCATCAATCACTATTCTAAAATTTATTTTTTCTCCAAAAATGGGTGTCAAACACAAGCATACACCATCTTCCACACATTAGTTGACCAAAAATGGGTGTCAAACACAAGCATACACCATCTTCCACACATTAGTTGACACTCTTTCACGTGAATCCATTAAAGCCATTGATTTTGGAACTTATCTATGACATTTGCATAGAATTCTTCTATGAATTAACTTGAGTGTGTACACTCAAGTTGATCGCGGGTCCCACCCTCATGTGAGGGGACTTATCATGCTAAGTGTACATTTATCGTCTGTTTGATTGCAATGGTGAAAAATTGGTGGAAAGAAAATGAATTTCAGAGAAAATAATTGTCTAAAACTTATTTTCCAGAGAATTGTTAATTAAATGTGTTTAATTGGTATAATTTTCCACTTGAAAATTTTTAAAATTTTGGATTTTTTATGTTCGTTTGGCTTTATTTTATATGAAAATTGTCCATTAAGGTTTTACAATTAGTTATAAAATTTGTTTCCATTGCCAAAAAGTAAAAAAAAAAGAGCAAATTTTTTTTTCAAGAAAATCATTTTTTCATCAAAGTTTAGTATTTGTTTGATTTTGTTTTATATGAAAATTGTCTATTAAAATGAATTTTTTTTACAATTGGTTATAAAATTTGTTCTAATTGCCAAAAAAAAGGGTGGAAATCAATTTTGGTGGGAAAACTAATTCCACAATTTCTTTGAAAATGTGCACATGTGGAGTGGAGTAGGAAAAAATTTCTCATGGCAAAAAATGATTAACAAAAAAGCCAAAACATGGAAAATGAAAAACCATGATTATCAAACATAGCCTTAGCATTTCTTTTCTTCTATATAGGGAGAAATGTCAACAAATGTGTACATCATAGCATACATGTAACATAATTCTTAGAGTTTTGCTACACAAAAATAATGCTTGACATAGGGGATGACACAACACGCACGCATGAGGAGGTCAGCATTATTTAATTTAGGTTTGGACCCACATACAATGTGAATGGTCGGTCAATCCATATATCAAGTATTATATTCATTTAGGGCCTGTTTGATTAGGATTATTTTCCATGGAAAATGGAAATCAATTTCCATCTTCCACATTTTTACTTGTTTGATGCAACAAATTTTCTAGGGAATCCTTTTTCTTGGTTTTCCTTCACGCGCTATATTTTCTTGGATTTTGGTGAAAACCAATTATCACCTTTTTGGTGAGAATTTGGTTTCCAGCCTCTTTTTTTTTTTTTTTTGCTTTTTTTTTTTTGATAATGAGAACAAATTTCATAATCAATTGTAAAAAAAAAAAAAAATTTACTTTAATGGACAATTTTCATGTAAAATAAAGTCAAACGAACACTAAATTTTGATAAAAAAAAATGATTTTTCAAGAACCAATTTTTTTTAAAAACTTTTTGGTAATGAAAACAAATTTTATGATCAATTGTAGAAAAAATTATCATTTTAATAGATAATTTCTATATAAAATAAAGTCAAACGAACACAAAATTTAAAAATTTTCTAGGGTGGAAAATTATATAAGTCAAACACACTTAATTAATAATTTCTTGAAAAATAATTTTTAGGCAATTACTTTCCCTAAAATTCATTTTCTTTCCATCAATTTTTCACCCTTACAATCAAACGAACCCTTAATTCTAATTCTAATTCTAATTCTTATGTAGGCTATAGGTTTCTCAAACTCCAAGGATGATATTGTACGAGCAATTTTAGGCGAAGTATCAGAAGAAACAGTTCTCTTGTCAGAAGCCAATTTTGGGATTGTCGAAGTGCTGAATATCCTTGACTTCTTCTCCCTGACACATGAGTGGGGACCCTATCTACTCCAATCAACGGTCAGATTTATGACTCGGATCAACGTAGAAATTGAGAAATTTTGTTACTTGATCATCAAAATATTACATAAGCTGTTATCAAAAATGATTTTGAGAAAAAAGATTAGATAAAAAAAGGTGATTGTATTTTAAACGATCAAATGATAGATTATCATGTGACATTATGTAATTTCTTGCGTTAATCTTGATATACATGTAGCGAGATTCAAAATTGAAGCATTATAAAAAAAAATCTTTTTTTGCATGTCGATTAGTGTTGAACAGAATCTAACATTTTTAAGAAGTTCTAATAAATCTAGAAGTGTCATGTGCACAGTCCTCAATGGGTATTCAATCCAATCACTTAACCCTTTCAAAACAATTGTGATCCACACCCGTCATTTTCTTAGATTTCACATGCATTATGGTCAAAATTTAAGTTGTGACAAATTATTTATGATTGAAATAAACATGTTAAATACTAAAATTATAACATGTTGATAATGACCAAATTATGCAATTTTGGTTATTTTCTTACATGGGGGATTAAAACATTTGGAAATATTACACAAATGATAATCAATTTATGTTAAATTGTCACGTGACATTAAAATGTGATTTTATAAAGCTAATTTGATGCCTTTAAATTTGAAGTCATATATGTTTTTACGAGTATCAAACGATTTCTATTCTACATATTAAAACTGTTGTTCGGGGACCCACTTGCGCCTTCTAAACGTCCATCGGTCCATGATCAAAATGCTTTTGTGATAATAAGTTGGGGATTGATGGTACAATTTTTACTACATGTTCCGATAAGAGTATGATCATTGAAATTCGTGCCAGTTTGTACTTAGACTTTTATTATCAGTTATTATTTATCAATAATATTAAATTATGCCTCTGTTTGAACCACATTAATTTTTTCATTCTCATTTTTCCTTTATTCAAGCAGCCGACTTGATTATTCCATAAATAATCAATTTTATAGTCAAAATACTTGTTCATAATTTTGGTTAAAACTTAAAACCACTAGAGGTGAAATTTTCGTACAGAACATTATAACATGATCATAGACTCAGTCCTTTCAGTCTCTCTCTCTCTCTCTCTCTCTCTCTTTCTCTCCCTCCGTGTGGTGAGACATGGCATCCTCCATGGCTGTTACAATTTTGCTACGCCTGCTCAAAGATTCAAGAAGAGGCTTGTTTTTCGTACCTATTTTCTTGGCTTTTGGGACCTCCTTTTTCATTTTCTTGTCCATATCTTCTACCTTGAAACATGATATTGTTCCAGGGCAAACCCGGCTTCATGTGAATCTTCCTCTCGAGTTCTCAAAACTTAATCCAGAACGTGTGCATCCTCTCTTGATTAAAAGAGTTTCATTCGAGGAACGGACTAACAGTTCGGCTCTTGATGAAATCCCGGGTTCGACAAATGACAGTGAAGATGATGCTAAAGTTCAAGAACCAGTGGGATTCAGTGAAATCCCTCCTTTATCAAATGTTAGCAAGGGTGATGTTGATCATTTTCAGTTGTCAAGTGGTAAGAAACTTCATTTTCAGGATCATGGTTTCTTCTGTTATCTCGTGCTTATTTGAAATAACTTTTCTAAAATTTTATCAACTTGTCAACCGATGAAATTTCATTTTTAATCACATATTTCATAGACCCACAATTTTTATCAATTTCTCAACCACACGTTTCATCAGTATCAGTTAAACTTTTATAAAAAACTTTGTCAACAACTCCTATATTAGAGACTTTTGTTACAAAAAATTAGTGTTTTTAAGACTATAGAGTCGAGCCAGAAAGGGAGAAAGTTTTTGTTTCTTTGGTTGTCCTATAGGTGGGAGGTACATAGAGGTGGCTTTTCTTGTTCAGCATCCTATGGGTTCATATGTTGAAAATGTATCAATTATAGATGTGGAATTTTGAATGTTCTTCATGCACAAGTTTTGTGGAATGCTTGAACTTCTAGAGCAAGTAATTTCATGCCAATAGTAATGGAATTGACAAAATTGGCCTTCTTCGGCGTATCTCAGGGGGTAGGCCAATCATCAATGTATGTAGTCGTGGTGTACGTCAAACAAGGTGGCTAATAATATTTCAATGTTGAATCAGTCACTAATTAAATAAAGATTATTGCAGTAAATATTTGGCTATTTGCTAATTCTAAATATTAATTATCAGATGATTTGTCTTATTTAATGAAATAATAATACCATTTTTAAAATAATATATCAAAGTATTAATTTTGGATCAATAATTGCATTGTCCATATGCTTGGCGATTTGGACCTTAACTATCCACCTCAACATCAATCCACCATGCCACCATCGAAATTAGGCTACTAATTAACATTAGAAAATGGGTATTTAGTGGTTGTGGCTTAAGGATGACTAATTATACCTTTGGCCTCACCACATCTCTTTAGTAAAAGACGAAAGAGTAGTTCGCTATGTGCTTATTGCATGGCCGCATGTCCACACATATCTCTTTCTTGATGGTGAGGTGGTCAGTCTGATAACTCTAAATATATCTAGCCCTTTTTTGATTATTATTATTTTCAAAATATATTTATGCATTTCCCTTATTTTCTACAATACATTCTTCAATAAAATAATATTACACTCAAGTCCAAAATCTTTCCTTATTTTTTAACCATACATTCTCCATCAAATTAATATTTCAAAATGCATTTTTGTCAAAAAAGTCGGGTTCAAACATGCTCCTAGTGTTTAGTCAATGTGTTTGTCATGGAGGAAATTAGCATCCCATTTGATACGTTTTGTAAAACACGACTCATTTTTTGGTTTCAGGAAACAAAGAGAGTAACAATGAAGTATTTCATGACATAACTCTCTTCGAGGAAGACTACAAGGAAATGAACAAAAGCTTAAAAATCTACGTATATCCCCACACGAAAAATGATCCCTTCGCAAATATTCTTCTCCCGGTGGACTATGAACCTAGTGGCAACTATGCAAGTGAAAGTTATTTCAAGAAATCTCTATTCAAAAGTCATTTCATAACAAATGACCCTTTAGAAGCAGACCTTTTCTACATGCCATTTTCAATAGCAGGATTGAGACATGACAAGAGAGTTGGTGTTGGAGGGATTAAGAAATTCATCAAAAATTATGTCGACAACATTAATGTTAAGTATCCTTATTGGAACCGAAGTGGTGGCGCGGATCATTTCTACGTGACTTGTCATTCTGTGGGGAGAACAGCCATGGAAGAAGCTGTTGAAGTGAAACTGAATGCAATTCAAGTTGTTTGTTCATCAAGTTATTTCCTTTCGGGGTATGTTACTCATAAAGATGCATCCATTCCACAGATTTGGCCAAGGAAAGGGGAACCCCCAATTCGTGCACCATCTCAAAGGTAGCCATTTCCTCTTTTAAATAGTACTTTTTTAAAAGAGAAATTACAGAACGCACCATGCATTTAGGGTGTATTTACAATTTACATACCATATTTTTTAAATTTCCATTGTTTTAAAATTTAATTACTAAAAGCTGTTTTTTTTCTTTAAAAGATGGTAGATAACATATAAAAAATTACGATCTTCATTATCTTAAAACTAAAAAAATCTAAGAAATAAATTTTGATAAATATAGCAAAAACTACATTTGATTTTTTTTTTTTGGTACGTTATTAAACGGAAATTATTAGTTGTCATCACGTAATAAATAATTTGTGTTCAATGAATAAAAATATAAAAAAATCAAATAAATTAATACTAATTTAATACTTTATATTATTTATTATTTTGCAACTTAAAATGAATATCTTATTTATTTTAAGTTTTGTTGTAAATTTATACCATTTTGCAATTTAACCTCTATTTAAGGCTCATTATTTTAAGCAAAAGAATGAGAATTCCAACCATTGAAGTTAAAGTTGGGCCCCATACAAGACTTGAGAAGTCAACAATTTTCAGATGATTTGATGGTTAACCGCTATAATTCTCATTATTTTGGGCAAATAATTTGCCCCAAACAGGGGCTATAACAAATTTTCAAGTATTGCTATATAATTTAAAATTTTCTGTTTTGGTGTTCTTTTTTTATTTTACTAATAAACTTCCAAAAGAGAGAGACAAATATAAATATTGCTTATAAAAATTATATAAATTACATTTTGCATTACTGAATTTTATGTAACACCTGTGTGGTTTTGCTTCTAGTAGATTTTGATAAATAAAAAAAAAGATTAAATGTATAATTAAAAAGTTGATAAAAATTTTGAGTCACATAAAATGTGTAATTAAAATTAATTATTGACTTTGACTTAAATTTTTATTAATATTTTTAATTAAACCAAACGTGGGTTTAGTGGTAAAAAACCACAAGTTTTTTGAAGGAAAAAAAATATAAATATTTACAAATTTGTATGTTTTTTTATTAAATAAGAAAAATATAGTATGCAGATTGTAAATACAACCTAAATGTAATGGTATAATGTAAATTGCCCACTTTTCACAAAGTTTTGAGTCACTGTTGGACGAAATCGTAGGAAAAAGCTAGCTTTCTACGCCGGAGCAATGAACTCTCGTGTTCGACAGTTTCTTGTTAACGCCTGGCAAAACGATTCCGGCATGTCCATCCATCGTACTCGCCTGAAAACGCCGTATTCAGAAGCACTTTTAGGTAGCAAATATTGCATCCACGCCAAAGGATTTGAAGTAAACACAGCTCGTATTGGTGATGCTTTATACTACGGCTGTGTCCCTGTGGTTTTGGCAGATCATTATGATCTCCCATATGCTGACATTTTGAACTGGAACAGCTTCTCTCTTGTCCTTTCAGAGATGGATATTCCATTGTTGAAGAAAATACTTGAAGGAATAGAGTTGGAGGAGTACTTGAAGTTGCAGAATAATGTAATGAAAGTGCAGAAGCATTTTCAATGGCATAATTTTCCAGTTGATTTTGATGCTTTTCATATGGTTATGTATGAGTTATGGCTTAGAAGAAGTCATGTCAGAATCCCTTTTGGTTCTTGAACAACAGATTCTTTACTGTTCGTAGATATTGTTTGGGTCTCTCTGTCAATAATATAAATAATGGGGGTTCATGTAATTTATTTAGTGCTCATTTTGTTGATGTTTAACCTAAACCCTTAATAGGTTGGAGGTTATTTTATAAACTGTTGTGTTGCCTTCAATTTGCTTTCAGGTAAAGCATTAAGATAAGTTATTTTTTTAATTTTTTTTTGAATGGAAGTTATTTTTAATTCGTATTGACGTTGCTAAATGTTGATAGACTTCATAAAATGAATGACGAAAGGTGAATCAAAGTCGTAAAAGCGTGATTAAAAATGGAATTTGATAGACTGTTTAACAAACAATAACTTTACCAAACAAATATTAAGACCCTGTTCGATCCACCTAAATTTTACATAGAAAATGGAAAAGAAATTCCATCTTCCACTTTAAGCATGTTTGATACACAGTTTTTTCTTAGCAATTCATTTTTTAGGTTTGGCTCACACGCATCCAATTCCTTGTTTTTGATGAAAATGAATTCTCATCAATTTGGTAGGATTTGGTTTTTTAGGTTTTATTTATTTATATTTTTTTTTGGTAATGAAAACAAATTTTATGGACAATTGTAAATTGTTTTTTCTTTTAATGGACAATTTTCATGGAAAATAAAGTCAAACGAACACCAAAAATCCAAAATTTCAATATTTTTTAGGTGGAAAATTATACGAATGTAATCAATCAAACACAATTAATTGACAATTTTCAAGAAAACAATTTTAGACAATTCAATTCCCTATAATTCATTTTTTTTTCACCCAAATTTCAATATTGCAATCAAAATGATTAAAAATAGTTACTTTAATAATTAAAGAAATGAAAACATTCTAAAGCGAATTAAATGTTTCATTGGCCACCGAACTTTACACTTCGTTACGAATTACCCACCGAACGTTAGAAATCATCCCAATGGCCATTGAACTTATCTATGTTGCACTTAGTTACTCACCCATTTAAATCCGTCAATAAATCTAGCCAGCTAGACAACGGAATATCTACGTGGACCGTTATGTGCTTAAGTGGAAGTCCATGTAGCCAAACACGCCTTCTTGCTGAGATACTAAACTCTCATTTCTTCCAAATTGAATTGAGGCCACCAAATCCCTAATCCTCGCTTCTCTAGTGGCCTCACCAAACTGACCTCTCTGATAGCAACATCTACAGCACCGCATCTCCGGCGCTACATTTCCAACGGATTCCAAATCAAACCCTTCAGCGTGCGATCCATTTCCCCCAAAGTTCTCTGCTCTATGTCGCGAAGCTATGAACCATAATCCCTTTCCCCCAAAGTTCTCAGCGTGCAATCCATTTCCCCCAGCGTGCGATCCATTTCATCTGAAGGTAATTCCGAAGCAAGTCCTTTGGTTAACTATATGTTTTATCAGCAACTTGTAAGAATTTTTGTTTCTATATCTTTTGAATTCGGGAGAGGTGGAATTTGCCAAAATGAGAGCGGCAAGTGCACAATGTAAATCAGGGGGTAACCAACAGCCTCATTAATTTAGGAGTTTATGAATTCCAGTTTCCTTCTTTAGTATGTTAATGTTTTTGAGGAAATTGTGGAACTTATGGTGCTGCTTATACTGCTGTTATGGATAGCCAGGCACATCTCAAAATCGAGTTTGATCTAATGTTTCAAAAACAATAAAACAAGAGCGAACTTTCCAAAAACAAGTACAAGTCTACATTGTTCGAACTTGATGCTCTGATTCAATTTACCTGACTGTAATTTCCTATATATGTTTTGAGGCCTTATTGTTATCATACTAGCCTTCCAAGTTAATCCTTTAAAGCTTTTCTGAGAGTTTCTCCATCTATTTACTTCAAATATCACTGAACTTGCATCACTTGGGATAATACTTATGCAAAATGCTTTGGGAAATTGGTATTTGGCTAAATGTCGGTTTAAATTTTGATCAATTGCATGTGCTCTTGCTTAATGTGCTTTACTTGTATGGCTGATTGTGAAGAAGATCCGAACTTCATAGATTCCAATCACAACGTCGAGTCTGAACAAGACAACATCGAATATGATTAAACGTGATTGACGGGATTGAAATTTGATTCGATTCTAGTAGCAATGGTATGCAGGCAGTCGGTTCCTGCTGATGTTCCAACGGATGATGTGAACTTGGAGGATATCTTTGACGAAATGTATGACATGGGAGAATCGAAATCTGCCAAGATGAGGGTGGCAAGGGCCAAAAAACGATGGCGGGCTAAGCTGTCGACATCAGCATGCACACATCCATCAGGGAATACCCTAGAGGCACAGAAAATTAAGCATTGCTGACTTCGGTGTTTTACTAGGTGGAACTTTTATGCTGTTGTTGACATTTTGGATGGACATTTTGCTGATGATGACCAATCCCTGGAAATGGCATTTCTTCATCTACATCAGGAGTCTCACAAACAAATCTGTTGTATAAAGATCATTTTGTGCCTCTATCAAATATGAATTATTCTAGTTGTACATCAAGAATTGTACATAAGGGTCTACACCCCCTTCACATGAGGAGTGGGACCCATTGAAATAATATTTTTTTATTCGAGCGGATTCCACCCCCCCATGTGAGAGGGGTGTAGACCCTTATGTATGGAGTGATGTACCCCTAGCAATGCTCTTGAAATATACAAGCTCTTAAAGTGATTGCTCGAGCTTTCGAGACCAATGTGACTTCCAATATCCCTTGGGTTATTTATGTAAAGAATTACTTCTGCAATCAGTACATGGTTGTAAAGGATGACTTATTCCATTTTGCAGTATGAGATGTGGCTGTGGCTTTTGTAATAAAACTACAAATCTATTTGATTTTGTAACCTAGAGTAATTATGCTTTACGGTTTCATTAATTCTATGTGTAATGATTTCTATCAGCTAGGGTATGAATGAAAAATTATATATTGGTAGGTATACATGTGTACAGAGAAACAAATAACAAATGTTTGCAATTTTATTTATTTACATAAAGTGATGCATAAGTATGTGAACTTTTGCTAAGCTACTGAATTATGTGAATGCATACGGAGGACAGGTTAGTTATAGTTGCACCTTTGGTGCCCAAAAAATTATACATCCATACATTTTAAGGATGGACTAACTAATGTTTTCAATATCTTTAAACAAAATCATCTTCTTATTTTTCTTAAAATTCCAAAATACAAGGTTTTATATTTTAGGGTGAAAGAAAAAGGGAACACGAAGTAGCCAAGGAGAAATATGCTGAGAAATTAATAATGCAAGTTAAATTGGATGGTGCAATTAAACAAATAGAAGTGCTACATGTACATAAATCTATATATAATGGTGTCCATAATTACACTTGGCACTGGATCCAACCATTAATTCAAATCTCACACTTTCATATCAACAACAGGATTTTGTCCACAACACTATTATGTACATATATTATGTACATGTAGACTTTTCCTTAAACAATTACTTCTCTTTTGCGGAACGCTTAAAAAGTGTTGAGGATATAGAAAACTTGTTCTACATCATTCAATGGTAGCTGCTTCAAGGATAATATTAATAGTATCAAACCAAAAAAAGCAAAACTGAGTACAGAGCCACTGCAAATGAAGAGGAAGACGAGCAAAGATTGTACCATCAGCAATAAATAGCAGGATTAAGCAAACACCACCTTCATCAAATGCAACAAGTAACCATAACAGTTTGAACAAACAGACATTAAAAGTGCACTGTGAGACATAAAAATTAGATTGAATCAATGAATTTCTACTTCATCATTATCCTGTTACAATCTAATAAAAATACCAATTTGATACAAAGATGTTTTCTTTACAACAATCTCAATCTCTATACCAATTTGATACAAAGATGTTTTCTTTACAACAATCTCAATCTCTATGCATGAATCCTATACCAATCTTTAAATTATCCTTGAAATTATTGACTCTCACAAGACAAAAATGAGTACAAAAAATCCCAAACCTATCCCACAACCAACCCTACTAGTCTTCAACAAATAACAAGCTGGTCCACATTCAACCCACTTACCCTGCACCACCACCATCCATTTCCTTGTCACACCCTCTTCAACAAATTCTTGGTTTATCTTCTCATTACTACAACCATTTTGCTCTAATTCTTCAACAACATTAAGCCCACCTGGGGATTTCCATTCACCTTTCACAATTGGCCATTTCTCAAAAAATGGCCTTTACTGTCTTGAACCTCACCTCCATCATCTTCTGTATAGATGTGGACTAATAAGGGAGCCTGATTCAGATTCTCTACAATATCAGGCATTGCCTCTTGCATCCAAGAATCAATTCTTTCCGGGAAAAGGGCACCTTTATTCTGCAAATCCTCCTTAAAAACCTTTAAAGAACAATAAAAACCTTTAAAACACTACAAATTCAGTTGGGCCGGAGATAGAATCCATTGGAAATGTAGCGCCGGAGATGTGGTGACGGAGATGTTGCCATCGGAGAGGTCAGTTTGGTGAGGGCACTGGAGAAGCGAGAACAAAAAAGCTATTTGTACAAAAAATGTTTGACAAAAATGTTGACAAACTCTCACATGTGGGAGGGGCCCACTTTTTATTTTCAATTTTTTATTCATGTGGGGCCGGCAATCATGTGAGTGTTTGTCAATAAAAAATTGAAAATAAAAAGTGGGTCCCCCCACATGTGAGAGTTTGTCAACCTTTTTGTACAAATTCTTTTGTACAAGTAGCAAGGCTCGAAGCGAGAATTAGGGATTTGGTGGCCTCAATTCAATTGGGACTCGGGAGGAAACGAGAGTTTAGTATCTTAGTAAGAAGGCGTGTTTGGCTACATGGACTTCCACTTAAGCACTTAACGGTCCACGTAGATATTTCGTTGTCCAGCTGGCTAGATTTATTGACGGATTTAAATGGATGAGTAACTGAGTGCAACGGAGATAAGTTCAATGGCCATTTAGACAATTTCTGAAGTTCGATGGGTAATCCGTCACGAAGTGTAAACTTCGGTGGCCAATGAAACATTTAACTTAAAGCTTAAAAATTGCTTCTCGCTCTCTGTCCCAGCTTCTGGAGAAGTCTAGGAACCACGCACCTGCTTCTATTACACAAACAATCAACTCTACGTTTAGCCTCCCGGTGCGTAATCAGCAGAACAAAAAACCGTTCTAGGGTTTTTTTTTCTCAATCATAATTTCCCATCTAAATTTGGGGATTGTTTGTGGTTCAATCAATTTGATTGGATATTAGTCATGGACGGTTATTTCCGGTTGAATATGAAGAGGAAGGAACTTGAGGACGTCAATAATGAATTCTCAGATTTCTCCCTTTCGTCTCCCGCTAGAAAAACTCGTCGACTGGTAACAAATTTGTATCTTAATTTCTGAATTGGTGCTAAATTATTGACTACTTATTTTCCGATGTTATTGTTTTGCGTG